AGAGGAGTTTCGTGGTGCCATCTTCCACTCCGCGCGATGGGACCATAGTGTTAGCTTGGATGGGAAGAAGGTGATTGTCATTGGGAACGGCTGTAAGGGAACACTTATGACGAACGCAACGGCCATTCAATGGCCTCCTGCTAACTTTCTCTTCTTGCTCTGACGTACACAGGCACAGCGGCTCAGATTGTGCCTGCCATTGCTGGCAAAGTGGAGTCGCTGACTCAAATCATTCGGTCCAAACACTGGGTTTCCCCGACGCATAACTTCGCGTACCCGCCTCTCCTGCAATGGATCTTCCGTTACATCCCCTTCGCGATGAGATTGCATCGTCTGCACATCTTCCTCGCGGCGGAAAGCGACTACTTTCTCTTTCCCATGACCAAGGCAGCCGCCCGACTGCGAGCGCAGCGCAAGACCAAACTGGAGAAGTACATGCGGGCCACTGCCCCGGCCAGGTACCATGACCTCCTGATTCCAGACTTTGACGTCGGGTGCAAGGTTCGCATCAACAAAAAGCAGATATATACTATGGCTGACGTTCATATGCTCCAGCGGCGCATTATCGACTGCGGCTATCTCGACTCTCTACACAACGACAAGATCACATTAACCAATGTCCAAGTCGACAAGATCGTGCCCGAGGGCATACAAACAAAGCAGGGAGATATCATTCCTGCCGACGTGATTGTGCTTGCCACTGGCTTCGAGACCAATACCTTTGCCCCATACATGAACATCGTCGGTCGCAACCGGGTGAGCCTGAGCGAGCATTGGGCCCAGTATGGCGGACCATCTGCCTACAATTGCTCCGTCATGAGCGGGTTCCCAAATTTCATTTTGCTGCTTGGACCGAATGCGGCCACGGGCCATACTTCGGCGTTGATGGCTGCAGAGAAGTGCGTATTGTCCTTTGGATCTTCATCTTCCTCAGTTTTTTTTTCTGATGGCTTTATGCCTCGAACAGCTCTATCAATTATGCACTTCGCATCTTGAAGCCTGTTCTGAGCGGCTCTGCCTCGGCTGTGGAAATAAAACAGGAGGCCGAGAGAAGCTATGTCTACTGGGTGCAGGGGGCACTGAGAAGGCGTGTGTGGAATGCTGGTTGTGTCTCGGTAAGTGTGCTCTGCCTAGAGTAACCTGTGCCCCTGAATGTGCTTGAAAGCTTATACCCATGCTTGAATCAGTGGTACCTAAACGAGTCGAAGTGGAATTCAATGTCGTATCCTTGGACGCAGGCGCATTTCTGGTGGCGCAGCCTGTTCCCGACGTGGTCGGATTGGCATATCAGGGTAAGGCGGCCTTCCAATACGAGGAATTCTCCTCTCTATAGTTTTTACTGACATCAGAGACTCAGTGGCAGAAAAGAAACGGTCTGAAGAATCGGTCAGCGCCGCAAATCCTGCTTTTCATTCTCCTTCTAGCTCTGCTCGGAATGACAAAGCGGTATTTGCACCTCATTCCAGTTGATCTAATCCAGGAGTTGGGTGCTTGAAGTGTTTCTATATCTTGTCTTGCACAATTGGACTCTGTCTCGTCACTATTTCCCCATTTGATGGGACTTTTGAGGCTGCGGTGCGGAGTTGTGATTATGATTCATGATGCTCATGGCGTGTCAATATATTTTGGGGCACAAGAAGGCCGGACCTTGTAATCACGTGATCGATAAATACAAGGCCTCATTGACGGATCAGTAAAGCAAGATGTAGGAAGAGAAGTATTGCTGCTTTTATTCAGGGTCTTAGGAAAAGCTCAATGTAGTCGAAGGTCAACACAGTTCAGCTTGAAGAACAGAGGATTGAACAGGTTTTCCCATGGATGTGGGGCGCGCTTTCTGCCTTCCGCGCCGCGCCGCGGTTCTCGGCACCTCCTTGACTGATGCTTATATCCTTCCCCAGCCCCGCAATTCAACCCAAAACGAACTGAAAGACAACACCGTGGTTCAATTTGCCTTCTGCTATCCACTTAGTCCTTCGTACTTTGCCTTTTGTTTCCTTGCAGCATGCCTCCCAAAACGGGCGGAGTCACTAAACCACAACGCGCGTCGCGTCGGAAGATCGCCCTCGCCTGCGATGTTTGCCGAGAGAAGAAGACTCGGTGTGATGGCGTGAAACCCACATGTGGTCCATGCCTACGACGTCCCCATGGCGCTCGCGGTTGCGTATATACCATGGATAACGCCAGAACTGCAAGTCAAGATGAGTAAGTCGTTGGTATCGATAATGAACTCGTGCTATTGCTGAAAGAGTGGCTCAGGTACATGCGCGCCTTGCACCTACGGATCCAGGAACTTGAAGATGCATGCGCTCGGGCTGGAGTGTCATTATCTGCAACGAAAGGGAGCTCTTCGGGTGTGAGCCTTTTAACAGAACAACCACAACATGAGCGTCAATCTCCAGCGTCGTCTCGAGAGCTTCAAGGCGGACAGGGAAGCATCGACCACGCGAACAGTGCCCTTCGTGGTGTACAACCCACTGCCACCGTACCAGAAACAATACATAATCATGGATCAGGAAAGGCAGACGCCTTCGATGATCCCAGTTCTGCGTCGCCGCACTTCGAAAGCCCTGGTCATGTTACGGGAATGGGCCAGATATCCGCACCGGACGGGTGTTTGCGTACGCCTGCACCTGCTGTACCTGCCAAAGAGTACTATGGCTCCTCATCCACTGCCTCACTCATGCGCTTCGCGCGAATGACTCTACCCTCACGGCCGACTGGCGCAGACTCCCAGGGCACTCCTAATTATGAATTCCAGGAGTCTGCGAACACCTGCTATCGACCGGATGACTATACACTGCCCCCCCGCTCGGTGGCTGACCAGCTACTCGAATGCTACTGGGACCGGGTAGCTTGCATATACCCCTTTTTCGACCGGTCTAATTTTGAACTGGCGTACCAGAACCTCTGGAAGTCCGAGAAAGAACCCATGAATCAATTGTCGAGACTTAACATCGGTCTGGGTGGGCAGTTCGACTCAGGCCCTAGATCGATTGTGTTTCACGCGGCCTTGAATGCCATGTTCGCGCTGGCCTGCCATTTCGCGGATATCCCAACTCAAGAACGAGAGTCGACCGCCCACTCCTTCTTTCTGCGAAGCAAACGGTTCATTGGTCTAGACATTCTGGAGCATAACACGATCGGGGTAGTCCAAACGCTTCTCCTCACCGCCCTGTATCTGCAGAGCACCCCGTATCCCAGTCGATGCTGGAATGCAATCGGTTTGGCATGTCGAATCGCGCAAGGGCTAGGCCTGCACAAAAATGACAGTCGCTTTCCGTGCACCTCGTTGGAAGGTGATGTGCGCCGGCGAACATGGCACGGTTGTGTAATGCTCGACATGTAAGTGCCCCATATTTCATCCCTAACTCGGCGCATCATCTTTGATAACGTTTCATGCATCTAGCCTAGTCAGCATGACACATGGCCGACCCAGCATGACTAGTCATCTCGCCTTTCTTCCACTGCCGCGTTCTTTAGACGCTTCTGTGTCACCTGAAACCGAAGCAACACGATCAGAAATGAGCTTCTATGTTGCGTCAATTCAACTACACCAAATTCTCGGCAAGATCCTATCCGACGTGTATAATACATGGAATAGCCAGTCGGAGGAGGACCCTACCCCCTCGGATCTCCCGAAAGACTTCAACGTAGATAATGTGATCGAGCTGGAGAAACAGCTTCATGTCTACAAGTCTACTTTACCATCATATCTTGACTGGACCGTGCCAAGGTCGACATATGGCGGCACAGAGCCCTCCCCGACTTTGGAACGGCAGCGGAATGTTCTCCACGTACGGTGAGCAGTATAGAACCCCTTGACTGCTGCCCAACCCAAGTCTCTGATTCACAGTGTGTAGGTACTGTCACATCCGCCTCCTGCTTTACCGACGCATCTTCACTCAGTGCTACTCAGAGACGGCTTCACACAGTACTCAAGGCGATGGGAGTGAGCCTGGTCGTGTCCCGCTCACCCAAAACGCCGACAATACACTTTACTCCTGCATTGCGGATAAATGTGCCGAGACCTGCGTTATGACTGCAGTCGATCTCATTCAAGCGGTCTACGACACCTGCTGGACTACATCTACAGGTGCATGGTGGTACAATGGTTTTTGTAAGACGACCCTCATTTCCTCTTTGTTTTCCTCGGTTCCTGATTGAAGATGCGTGCTATAGATACAACCACCGCAGCACTCGTCCTGGTCATGTCCTACTCGATGCCATCGTTATTGAGGTCGATAGGCGCCTCTCTGATCCAAGAAAGCTGGGCCAAATGTGAAAGGATCCTTGGAGACATGGCGACTTACAGCCACTCGGCGCGAACCTCTCTCCACTTCTTGCAGACCACCTTCAACCAAGTCGCTAGCCGCTGTCAGCCCTTTCCCCAACCCAGTGTGAACGCAGCAGACGGCACAAGTAGAGTTGTTGCAGAATCTTACGCGCCCACCATCCATCGAGATGTGAACCTGTCTGACTCGGAGGAAGTGCCAGGGAACTCCCTGACTTCGAACCTGTGTTCATACTCTGCCGATGACAACCTGAGTGCAGAAAACCTTGGTCTCTTTTCATGGGTGGATATTCCAGACTTACCGCCATGGCTGGGTAGTAGTGAATTGTGGTCGGGAGATCCAAGCCACTGAGACTATCATCAAAGTACTCACTCTTCACCTGATAAGCACCTATATCCTTATTCCGTGGTCGTGGTTTCATTATGGGAGATTTCACTCATCTCCAGGCTGGTACCGGTACAGTACATACACGGTAAGAAAGAACCGGAAAGGTCCCGGGCGGGGTCATTCTTTGGTCTCCGGTAACCACCGGTATTCAAGTATTATTTCCACTTCCCCCGCTTTTCGGGTCTTCATCTCGAATCCGCCCCCCCGCAAAGATCACTGTGGATAATTTATATTCGGGAAAGTAGGAGACCCTCAGGATCTGTACTCTCAATACAGTCTGCTCTCTCTGTAGCGTGTAATCTTCGCCTAACGACTAAGAGCATGGTTACCCCAAGGAGAAGCTTCCTCCCTCGCGAGGGATTGTATATTGATCCTATTGTCACGGGCCTACGCAAGACGGTTCTCTATCCCGGTTTCAGCATTCCTGCCTGGTGCGTTGCGCAGAAGGCGGGGATAGCGTCACCGCTCTACATGCGACTTGCTCAATACCTCGCTATAGCCAGCGCCCTCCTCTGGCTCAACACGTATCTCAGTAGGCAAAGCCGAAACAACTGGACCATCGATCATATGTGGAATGGTGACTGGACGAAAGAGATTGTGGTGGTCACCGGGGGTAGTGGCGGGCTGGGGGCAGGAGTCGCTCAGCAACTAGCGGCCATGGGAGCCCGCGTTGTGGTCGTCGATATCCTTCCTTTGACTTACGTGCCTGGTTGGTATTATCTCATTCTTGGCTGGAAGAAAGATGCTGGATCTGGGATGTCTACTAGAAGGCGCGCTAACCTACGAAACTCGTTATGTTTCTCGGGAAACAAATAGAGAGCGACCGCATTACCTACTATCAATGTGATCTGAGCGATGAGAACCAGATTGCATCCCTTTGTGAGAAGATTCGGTCTGAGGTTGGCGATCCATCTGTCTTGGGTGAGTCGAAACGAGAAAAGCACCAACAGAGAAGACTTAGGGTTCTGACTGACATGAAGCCGAATATAGTCAACAATGCCGGGCTCTCGCGCGGCCAAACCGTAGCGGAGGGGACGTACCACGACAATAGCATCACCTTCAAGACGAACCTCCTCGCCCCGTTCCTCCTGACCAAGGAATTCCTTCCCGGCATGATTCACCGCCAGCATGGCCATATTGTCAACGTCTCCTCAACGAGTGCATATATTCCCCCGGCGGGACTGGCGGATTACGCGGCTTCTAAGGCCGGGTTAATCGTGTTTCATGAGGTATATATTGTCTCTTATGTGTCCCGGCCGGGATAGACCCGGAAAGCACCCTTGTCCGCTAACTCCCCCCACAAGTGTCTATCTCAAGAGCTCAAATTTCGCCACAATGCTCCCAAGATTCGAACCTCGCTTTTGGTCCTGAGCTTTACCAAAACCCCAATGTTCAAAGGGGAAACCAACCAATCCCATTTCTTCATGCCGCTGTTGCATGCGGACACGGTGGTGGATGCGATCGTTGACACTCTGGTCGGTGGGTTGAGTCGGACCATTTACTTACCGGGGATCTTTCGGCTTTTTGCTGGATTGGTAAGCTTCGATTCATATTTCAATCTCCGGTTAAGACAGGCGAGATCTGTTGATACTGATTGTGTATCGAATTTGAACAGCGAGGTGCGCCGGAATGGTTCCAGACTTTAATCCGAGATCGCTCGCAATCCTTGGCGGTGGACTTCAAAGGCCGGCAAAAGATCGATCCGGTTGCGGGAAAGCTTGTCTAGGGTTGATGATATCATTTCCGGTGAACAGTAGATGTGGATAGGAGATTCTGTAGCTATGATGTTTTGTGTTAAATTGTACATAGTAGACGGGAGCTGTGCCGTGGCCGGAACGGTCGGCCCACGCCCTGGCGGGGTCCGGAACGCACCCGATATACTTCCTGGATTGAGTGCAATAAAGACCCAACCTCTCTTGCCCGGAGGTTATGTTCTCAAGCATTTTCACCATCAAACCTCGTAATCGAATGATTTATAGGTTCTTCCTTGCATTGTCGAATTGGCTTCTACCCTGGACCTGGAAATCCAAACTCAACGAGATGACGGACCACGGGATGGACTGGCTGCAAGGGAAGATCCTGGCATGGACTCACCCACCGCCCGCCAACAAGATCGACACCCACCACCATTTTGTGCCCTCGTTCTACCGGGAAGGTTCGTGTAGCCCAGCCCTAACTCCGGCACTGTAACAACTACTAATGCTGGGATATTCCATCGCCGAAGCCGTTGAAGCAGCAGGAGGTATGTCCAATGACCAAGTCAACCACCACTCTACTTAATCAACCAAAGCTAACCAACAACCAAGGTGACCCAAGCGGCTGGCCCACCCCCAGCTGGAGCCCGCTGCGCTCCGAGCTCCTCATGAAACGCCTGGGGATCCGCACGGCGATCCTCTCGACCACAGCCCCCGGGGCCTGCATCCTCCAAGGCGAAGCCTCATACAAGCTAGCGCGACAGCTGAACGAGTACGCGGCAGACCTGCGCGACAAGCACCCCGACCGCTACGGGTTCTTCGCCAACCTCCCAGACATTTCCCTGCATCCAGACGCCGCCCTCGCCGAACTGGCCTACGCCCTGGACACCCTGCACGCCGACGGCGTCACCCTGTTCACGCGCTACGGCACGTCGGCCGCCACGCAAGCATACCTGGGCCACCCGGCCCTCGAGCCAATCTGGGCGGAGCTGCACCGCCGCAAGTGCGTGGTGTTCGTGCACCCGACCCACCCGGCCGACACGACCGCGGTCAACGCCCACCTCCCGCAGCCCGTCATCGACTACCCGCACGAGACCACCCGCACCGCCATGGACATGATCCTGCAAGGCACCCGCCGCAAGTACCCAGATTGCCCGGTGATTCTCTCGCACGCCGGCGGCACCCTGCCGTATCTGATCACCCGGCTGGCGACGCCCCTCCGCAAGGCGCCGGACCTCGCGGCCGAGTATGTCGTCGGCACGACCTACGAGCAGGTCATGGCGGATTTCCGGAGTTTCCACTTCGATCTCGCCCTGTCGGCGGCGCCGCAGGTCGTCGAGGTGTTGCGGCGGATGGTACCGGGCGATAGGATTCTTTATGGGGTGGGTTTTATCCTTCTGTTCAGGCCTTCTGGCTTTTGTTCTTTCCAGGGAGGGAGAGTGGACGGGAAGGGTTTGTGTGCGCGGGCTGACTGTGCTGGTAGAGTGACTTCCCCTACGCCCCGTTGCCGGCGTACCCGGCTTTCTTGGAGGAGCTGGATGGGTGCGAGATGTCGGAGGAGATGCGCGAGGGGGTTTATTTCGGGAATGCGCGCAAGTTGATTCCGAGGTTGGCCGGGGAGGCCGGGCGTGAGGGGAAGATCTGATGCTGAGCTGTTTGAGTAGGGGGACGAGGAACTGCCGTGATCAGAGGAAAGGAGGGAGGTTGAGGCCACAAGGCGGCTCCTGCAACTATAGGTATGGAGTTTGCACGCGGTCGATTGTATGGGATAAGAGGATATGAGCAAAAGGACAGTCTCAGCGCAACTAGTGGAGTACACTGCTCAACACCTATAGCCGCGTAGCGAACATCGTGCGTGCGGATTGCCGAGGAAATAAAAGGCTGTGCTGATCACCGGGGTGATTGTTGCTTTGCGGTCATTGGCTTTAGCTGGCGAGTGACCGAAGACAATGGACAATTCGACATAATTTGGCCTAGAATGCTGTGAGATTGGGGTAGAACGTATGCACAAGTCTTTCATGTCTGCAGAATCGTCTGACAGGCTCAGCGTCCGAGAATGCGAGCTTGGGGAAGGGGCATTATCGAGAACTCACCGCTCGTTTGATGCGTGTATCTCTCTCAGAGATCTCTCCGAGGCTCCCTGCCCCCGGCGATACCGAAGAGAGGTTGCCCCGGAGGGACTTCCAGAGTCCTCCAAGAGGGGATGATGGCTTCTGAACGCGACGACAGCAAACCGATGGTTTGCTACAAGTCCTGAGGTTTTGGTTCGCAGAACCGCCCCTTAGCCTTGCTGATACAGGCCCCTGGTTTCGAGCTCAAAAAGAAAAGCCGTCACCTAGACCTGCTGATGTTCAGAGCACCATCCCCGGTGTCGTCGCCTAGTGCCCAAAGTCGGTCCTGATCATCCTGATCAGCTGATCTATCATATTCCGGTCTCCGTGGATACTCAGGATGGGCGCTTCAAGTGGAGGGTTCTGAGGATCAGCGACAAAGGGAGCCATTCGGTTTGAGCCCTGCTGCAGCTGGTAGAATCGAACCCTGTCACCAACGGCTGCAATGCCATACATGGTAGATTGGGTCCGACTGCTCCTACGAGCGCCGGTAAGGCTTCTCCGCAGCTGACTCTTCAACTGTGTCCATCTGTACCTTTGCTCCCAGCCAGGCTGAGTGTCGCTCGGAAACCGTTTGCCTTCGTCGATGACCACCTTCTGCAACCTGTTGTTTCCGAGTCTTGCAACAACCACATTGGCCATGTATCGTCTCCGCTGGTAGGTGTAGGACTCTCGCTCCACGCTATAATTATTAAGGAGCGGAAAGTAATGTCGCAAGACATTGAGCCAGAAGTTGTCCACTGCTAGCTCATATGGCTGAGGTCCACCCTGCGCAGGATGTAGAATGCTCATGTACCGACGGATCACGTCTAGAGTCCAGTATTCTTGTACTGAAGCGAACGGGAGTGCTGCCGGTTGCTGGGGTTGCCCTTGCGCTTGCATCTTGGTCCAATCCTCTGGAGTTCGTCGCGCGAAAAGACCTGCTTTTCGAAGGAAGATCTGGTTTGGGGGATTATTCACACGTGTACTGGGGACTTTTGGAGAGAAAAAGCGACTGCTAGAATTCCAGAGTGCGTCAAAGTACAAGAATATATCTTATGCAGTTTAGACCAGCCATGGCGGTGTTGTATGCCCGTGTCAAATGGTATAACACGTTTATTGACCCAAGGCAAGTGAATGTTCACACCTGGTTTCAGATGGAAGCGTAATATGACTTGTGGGTATCTTTTACTCTTTGTCCTTCAGCATAGAGATATGTGTTACTCCACATTATGTTCTTTCTTGCGTTACTCTCGAAAATTGAGCTTCCATGATTAGCAACAAAATCAACAAGTATTAAGGGACATATTCACCAGGTTTTGAATGAGATCACTTCGGATCCCAGCAATCAGCCTAAAACCCAGACCCTAACTCAAGTTCCAGTGCGCTGGTATCAAACCCACTCCTTTGAGGCATTTCGCTACTTCCTGCCATTTATCTTCGGATATCTGATCAAGGCGTCTTCGCCCTCTCCCCAGCACTCCTAATTCAATGATCTTTCGATGCTGACGACCCCAGGGACACCGTCAGCAAAGCAATCGTTAATACGGTATGCATCATAGAGCACCAAGAAAGGCAAGAATAGGACATACATCAGAAACGGCAGTGACTTGGTATACTTCATCAAGACAGCTGTAGGCAGGGTAGTATGGCTGGGGCGATAAATTATAATCGCCCACTGAGAAGCGCTCTATGGTATCCAAATAGCCTACACTGTCCCCCATCCCGGGCAAGATTAGAACGCCGGCCACACCACCAGCTACATGGTTGCGTACGGATAATCCATGGAAATTTTCAATGTCGATGGTTACGCGAATCCCGGGATAAAAGTACGGATTAGGCATGCCCACCTGTTTCCACTGCGTCTCCCCATGGATCTCCCTTGCTTCAGGACATGAGTAGCCCAGCATAGCTCTGGATCCATCCTTGAAAAAGAACTCCAATCCAGTGACGGAAGGCCCAGCGGTCTCCTGCAACACGGAGACCGCAACCTGGCATACCGGAGCGTGGATTTCGACAACCTCCCGGTACGTACCCCGCACGAGGGTATTATCATAGTGATGGAGACCCATGCCGCGGAAGTCGAGTGGGCGAGGCCGCCCGGAATGCAGCGCCAAAGCTGTGTCGCGAACCCAGCGCAACGCCTCCCACGTCCCAATCTCCAAGCGAAACCCCCAAGCACAGCCCAGCTTACAGGTGCAGTGGTAGAGCAGCCTCCAGTCGATCTCCCCTCCTCTTCCTGCCCCCTCCTCCTCCGTTTCCTCTCAAAGTAGTTGCGGAGGACGGGCAGCAGGAATCCCCGTTCTCCATTGATCTCAAATCTCGTTTTCCAAAACGCGCGGCTGGAGAAAATGCCTACAAATCCGCGTGACGCGCAACGGAGATGCAAAACATCCCGTGTCGGCAGCAAGATTGCAATCGCTTCGATGATCTCCAGGGGCAGACACTGAAAGCCATCCCTGCCCGTTCGACGTCGGTGGGAGGCGCGCCGCCGTTTTGTGATATACGGAGCAGGCAGAGGGGGGTCTGTCGGGAAGCGCATGAGCTCTTCCAGCGCGGGCAGTCCGAACCGGCCCTCACGCCGAATCTCTTGATCTTCAAAAGTTGACCAGAAGGAGGGGTGGGAATCTGGCGTAAATGCGCAGTGAGAATGCCCCGGCGTATACGGTGACAGCTCCAATGCCTCGAAAAGACTTCCTAGGTGTAATTCGTCGGGGCCGAAATGCTCCAGTAGACGGTGCCAACATACTTCATGGATGAGGTACACGTCGGTCTGACGATGCGCGGGCACATCACCCGATCTCCAGCTATCATCGGTCTCGGTGTCTCTTGGATTTCGCGCCTCGTCGTGTGCCCCCGGCGAGCTCGGGGCTGCCGTGATGGTCCGGGTCACCTTGACGCCGGACGTCGTGCAATAAACTTGAATTGATGTCAGCATGAACTGGAAGCATGTACACATCTCACGCAAGGAATCAGGAAGCTAGCTCACCGGCCCTGAAAGGCTTCTTCCATGGGATGGATTCGCAGAATACACCCCCACACACCGTGCACGCGGCGTACCAGAACGGTAAACCACGTTGCACATCAGGCTGAAATTGTAGCACTGAAAACATGATCAAAGCTTAAGACACTATCTTCCGAAGCTACATGGATAGAAGAGAGGGCAATTTACATATTGCCTACTCACGTTCCCGTCCCAGGCCTTTTATATCTCCCTCGCCCACGTCATCAGGGTGTCATTTGTTGAGGAGACAGCCGGCAACATTCCCATCCAATCTCCGCTCGATTCGATAGGCAAGGCCTTCTGATTTGATGGGAAGTGAGTTCCGGAAATGCTAAACAACGGTTAAGCGCCCGAAGCCTGAGACCGTAACACCGGCCATCCTTGATGTCCACCAAGAAAGGGCCACAATGGAACAATCAGTACAGTCATAATCTAGGCCTTCAACACAATAATCAATAGCGTGCTCCTCCGATACTCAATGTCTGCAACACAATTATAGTCACCCGAAATAATAGAGAAAGTAATCGATGGCTATTCAGAGAGAGTTCGCCAGGGGAGGGGAAAGCGGCTTGATCAGGTCGCTGCGTGTATATATGGCTTTGCATTTCAGCCTCTCTTTCGAGTTCTCTGTTTCGTCTTCCTCTTCGTCCCAAATCATCGTCTCTCAGGTAGGAAGTCCATCTTGGTGACCTTTTGTTGCGTGTCCAAGCTGATGAAGCGCAAGCACAACGACCACAACAACCACAACCACAACCACAACCACAACCACAACCCCCACAACCACCACCATCACCATGGCTCCCGCTCAGCAGGTATTTAACCATTCGTCGATGCCTTATCTCTTGTGCACGCGTGTCTGACGAACACTCAGCAGATCATCGTCAACGCGGGTGGCCGGGCCACCATCGTGGCCCCCGCCGACAATCGCCCCCGGGCACTGCGGAGGAAGGACCTGAAGAAGGTCCAAAAGAAAAAGCAGGCCCGCAAAGGGCTAGAGAGCAAGGTCGCCTCCCACGAGGAGCTGGTAAGTCCGAACCGAAGGCATTGACGGATTGGTTCGAAGCGAGACTAATAGCTTGTCTGCCGGGAACAGCTGCGCGAGGCCGAGCGCCTCGAAAGGGCGGCCGCGGCGGAGGAGGCGGAGGTGAGGCGAAAGCGGGAAAAGGCCGCGGAGCTGCGGCAGAAGGCCGAGGCCCAGAACAAGGGCGGGGATGAGGGGGTGGCTCTCGCGGTGAGAGTGAAGGAGACCGCCGAGCAGGATCATCAGATGCAGTAAGTAGATGAAATTCAAGGTTTACGGCGCTGGACGCCGGTTCGTTCCCACCCGAACATTGCGATCTTCGCTCCTTCTCGTACCATTGTAGCGTACCTACCTCTCACTATCCCTGTTCATGGCAGCTTTGCGGGCAGCGTCAGCTTTGGTCCCAATGTTTGACGTAGCTAGCTGAGATGCTCTCCACTGTCAGCCTTGCTGCACTGGTCAACCTCCAACTTTATGGGGGCACAGCGTGGAGCAAAGTGCTGGTATGCCTATCACACATTCTGCAGCTATAGATGGGAAGGTCCTGCGACCTCTTTGAACCTACTGTACAACATATTGATTCGCAACCGCAATTGTTCACGCAACATGTACAAGGATGTCACCAACCATATCAACGTGAGTTATACCACCACAGGCCTCCCACCTCCCCGAGTCTGCGGCTTCAGCGGCCCAAGAACGTACAGCTCAGCATAGAACCTATAGACAAAGTGTAGCTATTACTACATCTGGCCTCTATGTCTAGAATCATCCACCTCCATGCAGAGAACCCTGCAAGAAGTCTACTGAAAAGCGGCCAAAATCTCATCATTCCACCTGCCCGTCATCAGCAACGATATCTCAACATCATACAGACCAAAGCATGAGAACTTACAAAAGATACTTCCCCGACAACTCCCGAGGCGCATCCAGCACCAACCGCGCAATAACATGCCCCGGCTGCTCGGGTCTCAGCAACCCTCCATCCTTGTGGACGGTGGTAAAGAACGAATGGAACTGCTGATCCATCTTCGTCGCCAGATCCTCCCGGATGCCCCGCTGCATCTCGGTGTCCACGATGCCCGGATCCACCGACACAGAGACCACCTCAGGCTCTTCCTCCCCCAGCGTCAGCGCCAGATGGTTCATGGCCGCCTTGGTGGCGCCGTACAAGCCCCACCCCTTGAAGGCCGACACGGAAGCCGCGGATGAGGTGAACATAATCCGGCCTTGCGTGGCGCGAAGGGAGGGAAGAGATGCTTTCACCTGTTGCTTATCGTTAGTCCTTCCGGGACGGTTGATCTTCCAGGCATGATGATGCCTTGACGTACAAAAGCAACACAGCTGAAATAGTTCACATCGAACCCGTGCTTCCATTGCTCGGGGTCTGCCTCGGCCACATTCCCCACCTGCCCCAGAGTCCCGTGGTTCAGCACGAGTCCGTCCAGCTGTCCGAAGGCCTTCAGCGCCAGATCGACGGCCTTCCGACCGAGCGAGAGATCGGCGAGATCGCCGCCCAGGACCTCGACTTGGCTGGAGTACTGGTCTTTCAGGGCTTGAAGGGGCGCAAGGCTCCGCGCGACGACGACCAAATTGGGGGATTGTGGGCTGCTGAGGAGGTACTTGGCGATGGTCAGGCCGATTCCTTCGTTGTTGTTAGCCTTGGTGTGGGGAGAGGGAGATTGCCATGATGCAAGTGGTGGACGTACCGCGCGAGGCGCCAGTTATGATGAAGGTTTTGGGGGACATGATTGGATCTACTTTATGGGGCGCTGTGTGAGGATATCTACAGTATGAGAGTTGGTTATGGTGGAGGGGGACTGGTTCAGAGAAAAACACGGTGGTGGGTGAGGCTGACCGAAACTGTGGCTTGGCCCGCTGGAGACTAAGTGGGGAAAAACGTGAAGGCTGGAACCCTGGATGGATCCACTTAGCTGGGACTATGTCATTTGGGGTTAGTTAGGGTTGTGATGAAGCAAGGTAAGCTTGTCATACATCTTGCCTTGGCGATGTGATACTGTACTATGAAAGCATCAAGCTGGAGCTGCTTGCCAGATGACTTGTTAGGGTTTCCCATGCTGCGTTGCTCTGGTGCCTCAGGCAGGATTGGTTGCCGTCCTGGATGGAGGCTTGCAGTATAAGAAAATGCCCCCGCCAATTGTCCTCCGAGTTTGGGAGCTACCTGTACACAACAATCGGTCCCTTATGATCTTCGATAAGGCGCTCTCCGGATTTTTCGAGAGGAGTTCAGCCTTGTTGACCAGGCAAATGCTACCCCGCACGTATGCTCAATTCATTTATCATACTTTGTGCTACTAGGTGACAGCTCAACGTGCTAGTGCTGACGACAGGGGTTGGGTTGGGTCAATTAAGCACAAGCCTCAACCGAAAGCGAGTACAGACATCACGCTTCACAAGCCACCAATCTCGAACTGGCCAAAGATAAATATAATACCCCCCCTCCAGGCACCCATCTATGACCCCTGCACGCAAATATCAGCTCGTGGCCGCGGTACCTCCCATGGCATGTCTATTGCCTCGGCGGCCCGGAGGTCACAACAAAGTATAATACGGGTGCCCCCCGTCGAATCTTCTTGTTCTTAAGTCCAGATAGCATAAGCGCAATCATGGAACAAGCCCAGACAAAACCCCAACCCAAACCATTCAAAGATTGGCCCAACGATGCCGCGGTAGGTCTCCGTCCGTTCCTGATTGCGACTCCCCGTAGAAGCCCACTGAATGCTTGGATGGTTAGTTTGAGACGACGGCCGAGCAACGCGAGCCCATCGAACTGCCCGTCGTTGGGTCCTTTCCTCCGCATGTCGCGGGAGTCCTGTACCGGACTGGACCGGCTAGCTACAAAGTCCCCGGATCGAACTATCAGCTCCACCACTGGTTCGACGGCTTTACGCAGCTGCATCGTTTCCAACTCGTGCCCCAGCCAAGCGGGTCGTGCAAGGTGCTCTACAACTCCCGCCGTCAGGTCGATGCGCTGATCGAGGAGGTGCGCAAGACGGGCACACTGCGCGGCATGACATTCGGGCAGAAGCGAGACCCTTGTGCAAACTTCTTCCAAAAAGTCAAAGCCGTCTTTGAGACCCATTTTGAAATCACAAACCCGGAGATGGTGAATGTGGGAGTCACGGTGCATGCCAATGTAAGTGGATCTTTCCCTCGAATGCTCAGTTCCATTTTTTTGAGGATATGGACTAATGGGAGGTGACAGATCCCAGGCATTCCGTCCCGCCTCAGAGTTCCCTCTAGGCAACACGGTCAAGGAGGGTTCTCAAGTCTAACCACTCTGACCGACGCGAATCTGATCAAGCACGTATGCGCACTTTCCTCTCTCTTCTTTTCGGGAAGACTGTAAGTATCCAGAGCTGACAACCAAACCCGGTAACTCAGATCGATCCCGAGACTCTCGAGCCGCTAGGAGTAACGCGACAGGAAGGCCTGCACCCCGAGCTCAAAGGTCCACTGTCGAGCGCGCATGCTGAGCTCGACCCCATCACAGGTGACCTGTATAACTACAATCTCGCCTTCGGCCGCCACGCAACGTACCGCGTATTCCGGACGTCAGCCGCCACCGGCAACACCGAGATCCTAGCCACCATCACCGGCCCCGGCGTTCAAGCTGCCTACCTGCACTCCTTCTTACTGAGCCGGGACTATGTGATCCTGTGTCTCTGGCCGGCACTGTTCGTGGCCGGGGGCGTCAAAGTCCTGTGGGAACGCAACCTGCTCGACGCCATGCGCTTCGACCCTGAGACATCCACGCGCTGGTACGTTGTTGATCGTAAGGGCGGGCGCGGGGTCGTGGCCACCTTCGCCAGTCCGGCGTTCTTCAGCTTCCATACCATCAACGCCTGGCAGACGGACGATCCTGATAGAGAAGGAGAGGGACTCCACGACGGGACCACAGACATCATTTGTGATCTCATCCAATACCCCAACGACGAAATGCTGCATCGCGTCTACTACGAGTCCTTAGTCTCGACGGGTCTAAAGGTCGAGAAGTACTATGGTAGTGACCGCTCGCGCCCTCGCTTCGTTCGCTATCGTCTTTCCGGGATTCCGTCGACAGGTTACCGTCAGAATGCTCGCAAAGGAAATGGAAAGAAAGACCATCCCGATGCCACCTGGCCCCTGGCGACGACAGAATTGACTATTGCCTCTGATGCAGTGGGCGATCTCCCCACGATCAATCCCAAATTCACGGGCCGAAGAACGCGATTCGTGTACAATCTCTGCACGCAGGGGAAGGTATGTCTCTGTCTTCTTTTGCCATGTGTGGCACTCACTTAGTACGCTGACTCTGACTGACCGACTCCACCCATAGTCATCGTTCTTTGATGGCATCGCGAAGATCGATGTCGATACTCAGGAAAGCACGATCTGGTCTCGAGACCAACATACCCCAGGGGAGGCAATCTTCGTGCCTGAACCCGGGGCCGAGGCCGAGGATGCAGGGTTCTTGTTGAGTGTGGTGCTGAACGGGGATACCGGGACGAGTTATCTGCTGTGTCTTGATGCTCGGACGATGACGGAGGTGGCACGGGCGGAGTGTGAGGCTGCCGTTGGATGCGGATTTCATGGATCGCATTATCCAGCTGACTAGGGCTTGTCAGCTATAGTTTCTGGATTGGAGGTAGGGTACCTCCGCTGAGCGCTGCTCGGCTGGGGATGAAGATGTACCAATTCCAAGTTGAAAGGTGTATAGGAAGAATTGTAGCTCAGCCAGAATCTGTCGAATGAGGTAATCGACTTTCATATAATAGGTCCGTAGAACTCTTCCTATTTGGAAGGCGTCCGTCCACCTTGCATACCTTGGCCAAGTGCCGGGGAAGATATTGCGGAGAATCTCAGGGTCTCTCAGCAAATATCTGTACATGCGTCTATCCAGATTTTACACAAGACACTCCAGATAAATGCAATGTTTGCTTTCTCTATTGGGCGCGGGATGACTATTGCTTACCATCATCCTTATTGGTCTCACGTCAGATTACCACAGATCAACATGACCTTGACAATCACAGCCCCTCGCCTCGGGGCAGCGGAGAAAGCTCTTTGTTATAATACCCCAAGCCAGCCGCTGACCAAGCCTATCGCATCTGTACTCTAGGAAAGCTCTAAACATGGCTCTCTGGAGGCTAGCGTATCTTGTCTATACGACGTATTAAGTTGACGCTCTGGTCTCCGTAAGTTGACGCCTCAGGACCACTCTTAAAAGAAAAGAAGGAAACAAAAAAGAGGAGCCTTTATTTTCGGCCCTCAATGACGAAAACCACTTTACGCTGGGGCGAACGGGCTAGTACAACGTGGTGATCAGAAACGGATGAACCGCATCTTGAGGGGCTAGATTCCCTCTATCCCGGTACCGGAAAATTATCCGAGCCCTTTCGAATAGTCTATCTGGTCCTGAAGGTCGGAGATTGGGGCGATTCTCAGCGGTCCCGATGTCACGGACACTTGAAATGAATCTCCCTCACTGTCATGCAAACACCTCAGTCCGACCACGATCAGATATTTCAGCTGTTGCCGTGCTGCCCGCAATGCGGCGTAGTATCAGGGCTTGTGATTGACACGATGTTTCGTTGATGTTTGGAGAAAAATATGACGAATAGAACTGACAAGCCTACATGGATGTGTACAGTACGTACATACTTCACGGCATATATCCGGCCGTCTTGGATCGCGGACGGCAGGCTAGAATGCTCATAAAACACAGCCCACTAGATGCCACGCAGTAGACCTGGACACATCATTGCAGTGGTCATTTTGCCACTGGTAAGACAACCGTGGTCAGTGGCGAGTTGTGCCAGTCTGGCTTCCATCGACTTCCACATGACGGGTGAATTGACTTACCAGTTGCTATATCAGCATTATGAATGCGACAGCAGCCTGCCTGCGGGACGGGAACAAGCGACTTGGGCCTTTCCCTTTTCGGCGGCGACTGAAGACCACTCACTCACTCACTCACGGGCACGGCACCCACACAATTGCGACCCACATCGGGTCAAACCGACACGAAAATCCTTCCAGGGTTAGTCCCAACCTCATCGGATGGAACTACCGCATCGCAGCCTCAAAGATAGAAAAATACTGCCCACATCCTAGAGACACGCCGATGAAAGAACTCCTTTGACCAATGCTGACTGACCACCAGAGTCCCAAATCAGGGCTATCTGTGCCCACGGGCCAGGGCGGTGAAGCAACTGACCAATCATGGCGACATATTATGACCACGGCCCTAATTATGTGCAGGCTGGAGGATCCGAAGGATTGTCGAAGACGGGGAGCAAAACGAGGGCCAAGTCTGCAGGCTTATCAATCATCCACGAGTGCCCGTTCATGCAAGTCGGCAAAAAAATATCACTCGAGTATCACACCTTACCCTTTCCTGCGCACGATCTCAGAATACGAGATTGGCGTGCCCACAACAAGTCAACAACGCTGGCAATTCGACGGCCAAGACTTGCAAAGCCGCATCGCAATATGGACCCTGAAAATCGGTTGGTTGACGATATCGTGGCTAACGGCCAGCTTACCCGGAACCGGAAAGGCACCACTACAAGCACTGAGTGTCATATCAGCTTGGGCTGACGAGAAATTTTGTCAGGGCAAGGTGGCTAATTTGGCGATAACGGTCTATAAAAGGGGTCTGAGAAGCCCGCGGTGAGCCGGACAGAGCATCATCAGTATTTTCAACTCAACTTTCTATCTCAGAATCTCCTTGCCTTGTTAGACTTCTCAAAATGACGCCCACCCCGAAGGGCCAAGCCCAAACTTCTGCTGGACAATCCCAATACCAGCCTCCCTCCACTGGCATCTTCCGTCTGATGCCGGCCAGCTGGGTCCCCTACGCTGAACTGATGCGTCTGGACCGCCCAGCCGGCTTCTTCGCCTTCTACTGGCACTACCTGATCGGGATGAGCTTTGCCGCGGCAATCCTGCCTTCCGTATCCCTCCGGGCCCTAATCGCAGCAGCGATCTACCAGATCGTGTGGGTGATCGTCCTGCGCGGGGCCGTCTGCACCGTGAACGACAACTTCGACCAGGAGTTCGACCGCCAGGTCGCGCGGACCCGCTGGCGGCCCATTGCGCGCGGGGCGGTCTCCACGACGCAGGCCAACCTCTTCGCCGCGGCCCAGGTCGCCCTCCTGGCCGGGATGGCCCTGCGGTGTCCGCTGCAGCACGCCGCGGGGCTGACCGCCGTCCCGCTCTACGCGAGCCTGACCACGCTGATCCTCAGCGTCTACCCGCTGGGGAAGCGGGTGACCGACATGCCGCAGATGATTCTCGGCGTGGGCTTTGCGGCGGCGATCCCCTTCTCGGCCGCCCTGCTGGGGCTCGATCTGTTCCCCGTGTCGCCCGTCGCCTTGCTGCAGGGCCAGCGGGGTGCGGATTCCCGGCTGGCGGCCGCGTCGCTCAGCCTGTGTGTGGCCTCGGGCCTCTGGACCGTCATCTTCGATACCGTCTATGCGCACCAGGATCGCGCGGACGATATCAAGGCGGGCGTGCGCTCGCTCGCCGTTCGTCTGGGCGATCACACGAAGCCGGCGCTTGCCGTCTTGGCGGCTGCGCAGATCGCGCTCTTGGTGTTTACGGGCGTTCAGAGCCAGTTCTCCGCCGTGTATTTTGTGGCGTCGTGTGGAGGGGAGGCGCTTGCGCTGGCTACTATGCTCGTCGTGGTAGATCTGAGCAAGCCGGCGAGCTGTGCTTGGTGGTTTGGGAAGGGAACGGCTATTGTGGGGATTATTCTGCTGTCCGGATTGGTTGGAGAGTACTTGTT